ATGTGGAAACTTCGCCTTCGTGTCGAGTCAGGTCTTCCTCAGTGGGACATCTCCTTGAGTGAGGAATACTCACTCGGTGATGCTCTTTTATGCAGGACGGTGATGGTGGATATAATGATTGTCTGGTGATAACAACTTGTTTTTCTTCCGGACATACATCATCGTACACATCGCACAGAAGTCGGTGTTATTATCAGCTAGCACAAAGCGCAGTAATATTTCGAAACCGACTTTCCTTTAACCTCGGTGTGACTTATCATATTCTTTAGTATTCTAGTAGTACTAGTAGTAACTCCTACGTCCGACTTTCTATTAACCTCGGCATTGATTGAACAATTCTTTCTACTTCTGCTCAGCAAACTCGAGGTGCTATTTTATTTCTTTATTTACGTACAAGCTGACGTTTCGGCGGATTTCGCCTTCCTCAGAGCCTGGGAAGGTCAAGTTGACAGCAGCCTATTCGGCCAAACACCTCCATAACCAAACAGAGAAAATACTAAACCATGATTTAAATCACATTTAACACAGCTCTGCGTACTCACCGCTTCTATGAGTCATCCACTGAGCATGTCGTGTGAAGACCAACTGCACAGAACTCACATGGAAGCTTAATGTGCCCTTCTCATCAGAATAACAGGTTTATATACTGTCCAATAACACGCGTGATAATGAGGCATTCTTCTCTGCGGTTCGTTTTCGGATTTTTGGAATTACGCGTCAAGAGTTTTGCGCGCTTGTGTTTTTGATTCCTGCGCGAGGATCGTGACACGTACTTCAAAGTCCTCCCCATCGTGCCTCTGGGTCCTATGCGCGCCTAGCGGGATATTATAGCTGCACTTACATCATTTGAGATGAAGGGTAGGATAAACGGGATCTTTTTATCGCTAGAGTTGTCGTTTGGGAGCCTGCGATTTCCCCTATACCTATCGCGTACTATAGCTCGAGATAGGTGTAGAGGAAACCAAAGGTACCCCAACGATAACTCTAGCGATAATAAGGTCCCGTTTATACTGCTCTTTATTTCAAACGAAGTAAGTGCAGCTATAAAACGCTGTTTAAGAAGGGCCAGTCTAGAGAATTCGGTAACGATGATCGAAATACCACCGAATAATCTAAGGCGCCAGCTAGTTCGTAACCGCCTATACGACCGTCTATGTGCAACGGAAAATTGCATAATTTGCCCCAATGGTAGAGACGGTGACTGCATGAGTTCGGGTACAGTCTATCTGGTCTCTTGTAAAGGATGCGGGGACGAATACGTTGGCGGAACGGGTAGACCACTCCGCGTGTGTATAAAAGAACACCTAGTCGGCAAACGTAAACCAAATACTCCACTAGGCACGCATAGGACGCAGAGACATAACGGAGAAGATTTTGAACTAGCGGCTACGATCCTCGCGCAAGAATCGAGAACACAAGCGTGCAAAACTCTAGAGGCATTCTGGATTAATTCCAAGAATCCGAAGATGAACCACAGGAGAGAATGCCTCGTTATCACGCGTAATATTGGGCAGTATATAAGCCTGTTATTTTAATCAGATGGACACAATACGTTTCCGTGTGAAATCTGCGCGGTTGCTCTCCACGTGACATATTTAGTGAAAAACTCATAGAAAGCGGTGAGTGTGCAAAGAAGCTATTCTGTGCTGAATGTGATTGAAATCCTGGTTTAGCATTTTCTTTGTTTAGTTATGGAGATGTTTGGCCGTGTAGATTGCAGTCAACTTGACCTTTCTAGGCTCTGAGGAAGGTGAAATCCGCCGAAACGTCAGCTTCTACGTAAATAAAGAAATAGAATAACACATTGTGTTTGTTGAGCAGAAGTAGAAAGAATTAGGACGAATAAGTTCTGTCGCTTTGAACTGAATGAGTGTTATATATATCAGCATCATTGTGGTTGAATAAGAACTCTCAAGCTGTGCCTTATCTTTGGCTATTCAACCAAAAATTTGACCTGAAACTTCGGCCATCACTTTATTCTCGTGGATACTGTTCTTGTGGTCCTCAGCTTATTATTAGTGCTTTAGTTTGTCTAGTAGAGCTTAGCTATTGAGCTCTCCATTCACATGACCCATACTAATCAGTTGTACAGCACACCTATTACACTTCTAGTGATCATCGATGTTTTACTGTTCTTAAACCTTACATATAGCTTTTACAATGCTAACCTCTTTATACTAACAATGTGGTTAATAGTGTATCGCCTATATAATGATATAATTATCCAAGTGTGTGCTGGTCTTTAAAATGTCTGGACCCGATCCTTAACTCGCCAGCAAAAGTCAACTACTGCAAAAAACTCTAAGCCAGACCAGATTTCTACGACTTTCAATGGATATGGCAAAACTCCTCATCATAGTCTCTATCCGGTAACGGTGAACAATGCCAGCAAGCGAAGCCATTTTCAGCACTATCACAGTTTACATGCATTGAGATGAAGAGCAGCTCTACAAAGTTCAACAATCCGAAGTTTAAAAACCAATCCGTTCAAAAGAGATACGCGTTTCAATAACACATAGCTGTATATCCGACACCGATCTGTTCACTCACGGTATTTCTTACCATGTAGTCGAGAGCAAACGCTGCCCACATATTGGAACAAACAAAGGACCAAGTGTGCCGTAATTAACGTCACAGTTCTGCTACATGAAGTGCACCATGGAATAAGTTATCCAGCAGTAACAGTGTTAACTTTTGCGGTGTATCGGGATGGGACTATTTCCATCGGAGCTCTGGACACCTATTTTATCGCATTTGTCTGCACCCAACGCCTCCATAATTCCATGAAACATTCTACTAACATCGCTGTGAAGACTCTGCAAAAGCTGAAATTACCGTCATCGGTGGAATCCAACGAGTGACGCGATTTTATGTCGATCAAATATTCTACTACTTGGAAGTTTTTCACGTTCTCAAGAATTTCAATCTAGTTATTGGACTGTGTTTCTACTTAAAAACTATGGCAACATCCGTTTTTGCCCACCAATAAACTCTGTAGCATGGAAGTTTTTCAGCAATTCTTTGTGAAAGAAGTCATAACCATAGTTCTTACGTGTCACTGCGACTACCCTCTTCCGTAATTTCCTTTTGTCTTCACCTGAAAATTGTGAAGTTGTTAACTAGATGATGAAGGATCATAGTAAACTGAGCAAAAAGTGCATAGGGCAGAGCGCCTATGATTTTTTCCATCTCAGCTGAGTTGAAGATCTTTTTTAAATTGGTAGAAGTGAGCGTCGTGAAATCTTCCCGGCATTGGCCTCTCCTATGACTACGCTGAAATGATCAGCCACGGTGAATTATTTCCATATAGTGGTTGCTCTTGTGACTATCCCACGTTTCATCTCATTGGAATTTGCTCTCACTCATTTTTCTCTATCATCATTTCACTCACACTCGTCTCTCTTTTTACTCTTAGTTTACTCTCCACTTGCTTCCTAAGAGGAAAGGTGTGAAACGCTTAGCTAATCTGTTCTTTTATCGTTTTTCTAAGGGCACCGGCGGTGTAGAACATTCTAACTAACATCTTTCGGATTCCGTTCTCACATCCTTTCCACGACGCTATCAGTAATCTGTTTGATTCTGTTCACTTTTCTTCACCTGCTTCTTCACTTATCGCACATTTTCCACTATCTTTCACCGATGTAGTACGAAGAAACGGTCAAAAGACGTGCTGGTTTTCACTAACATGTGAAAATAAGCCATGGAATTAGAAAAAATCAACTATACTCCACTCTTTCACTGTTCGCTGCGTCTCGTCTACCTCCACCGCATCGCCGATCTTGTAGTTTTTCTCCGCGCTTCTTTTGTGCTTTCTTATTTTTACTACAAACTGTGTTTTGTCTTTTCTTGAATAATCACCATCTTCTTTTTCCTTTCTAGTCATTCTAAGATTCTTACCAGCTTGCTCACCACTACCTCATAAGAGCATCTGTTGCGGTTTCACGGCGAACGTTCAAATTGAGATCTTTATGGAGAGAATTTCGTGTAACGACTAAGTGTTGTCGTCATCATCGCCGTCCACTGTACATATTCTTTATTCGTTACTATGAAATCTCTTACACAGCGATTTCCAAAGAAAAATTTGCTGACATAGGATCCGATTACCTGAAGTCCTGAGATTGCTACGGTATTACCACGTTCTAAGGCAGTTTAGCGGACCTCATCACCGTAACCAATCGTTGGTTTTGTGGCTCTGTGGTGAAGAGATTCTTATTTTACTAGACTTTTCATTCTTAGCTGAGTATCCGAATAACGGTGTCTTAACGTTTTCAGCACTTGATTTGCTATGCTGGAGATAAATCGCTTAATGCAGTTAGACACGTAGAAGTAGCAGATCGGGGCAGTGGCGGCGGTAGGTTATAAAGCGTATTTATGTAAAGCATTTAAAGAACAAAAGATAAGTCGTTGACGTAAATCAGTTCCTGTTAGGTTCGACGTCAATTCGGCACTATTCGTTGCATTGCAGATGTCAAAGGGTATAGATTTCACCACTACAATGACTTGTGAGATATCAATCTGCAAATCAGGGTTATCGTCCTAGACTACTTTGGTGTCAATCCAATGATCTTGAAAAGGACATGGATAGTTCAGCAATCTAGGTCGAGACAAAGCTAGCGTCCAGGTGTCTGTTCAATCTTGCCCTACTGCTATTTGTCTATACACATTCTCCGAAAATTGTGAATGTATCCGATGGGTCGTAAGCGATATTGCGGCCTCGTTCAGCTTTGAAGTTGAACTCGAAATATTCTCGGATTTGTGAATATTTATCAATTTCCAGATATTTTTTTGTCAAACTCAAATTTTCGCCCAGAACTTTGCGACTCAACGGCATCGAATCTACTGACGTCGGTGTATGGATCGATTCCACAAGCCGTGCAACACACCGCCGCTGATCATAAAGCGATGAAGAAGGGTTTTGCATGAATAATTTTACGTGAATTTCATTCGGCTTATGCTATGGTATTCACACCTGGTTAAACTGTGAGCTGAACACAATGTCGATGGCTTTACTCTCGTCACTGCTTGTCCTGTACTTCGCCCACGACGATGCCGTCGCGCTTATTCAGTGCAAAAAATGCGACTACGATTTCGAAACTGAACAAGAAATGTGAGTGTAGGAATCGAAATTATATCTCATGTTAATAAGGTAAAAATTTTCTTCATCACTCGGAGCAGGAAGAGGATTTAATTGTTGAAAAAAAAAGAAAGAGTTAGGAAGTGATAGGACAAAGAGGGAAAGAGGAAGAGAGAGAGAGCGAGAGAGATTGAGGTGGTGAGAAGGGGAGAGGGAGAAAGAGATTAAAAAAGTTCTCCAACAGAAAACGTTGACGCATCTCGTTCGCTTAGTATTGTTTTTGATCCTCATCCATAGAAGTTGTTTGATGAATCATTTAAATTCATAGAAAAAGCCGTATAGAGTTTTTTCGCCGTTATCATTGCTCATCATATCTTTACCACCGGTTTTATTAGAGATTTGGTTGCAGAGGCTGACATTATCCCAGTAAAGATGGTCACAAGTAGTAGGCTTCCCAGAGAAATGTCACGGACCAAGGGTTTTCCATTATGGTGATGATGCAAGCTTTCGTTAGATGTTTCCGACAGTAGTAGAAACCTTATCACGAATTTGGTGCAGCCACACTTAACAGTAATTTCCGGATTTGATGTTCTTTTCAATGGGCGGTTTCGTTTTGATTTTATTTTACTCTTCAAATGATCTCGTATGTAGTAAGTTGAAGTCTGTTTATATTTAAAGATGCGAACCTGATTGCATGGGAACCCTGTGCTTCTACTCGGAATATTACTACACTGAACCGGAACAAGTATTTACTCGCAAAGTGAGTGCTAAAACTAAATTTTAAATGTTTCGTGTTTTGTTCGACTCTATTGCTAAACGAGTCGGTGATATTAGCATCTTCGTTGGTTCATTCGGTGTTGATCAATCCCTGTGGATTTCATGGATTCGACTTCATCATTCATCGTAGAGGTTATTGAATAGTAAGGTTTAACTAATGCCACAACAGTGCTCGCTAAGTTATCTTAATATTTTTGTTATAAACAGAAAGGAGATAATAAAGAGAATAACACAATAAATGTGACGCTGTTCTTTGGAGAATTGGGGAGGTGTTCTGAACCGTTACAGAATGAATGGAGACTTTCTTCATTGCTGATCCAAGCTAGTTTATGATCGAAAGTTCAGAGATATCACAAACGCTGTTGGAGTTTTTAGTGCAGAGCTGAGCCGTTTCAGCTAACTCACATGTTGTTCTGCGACATTGAGCCCTAAGCATTTAGTACTTAACCATGCGCTTAAAGCTTGTCTGAATGAATTGCGCCTTTCGTTACTTGTTCAGCAAATTGTTGGAAGATTTCAAAAGCTCTGGGGAAAATTGTTTTTTCTTTAGGGTTGCATTAGTGGAATAACGTCTTCGAATGGTTGCCGTATCAATCAAAATGGCCAAGTTTTGTGTATATGCGAGTAAGTGAACAATGCGGCTATGCCAGACCTTTTCTTTTTTGTTTCCCTGCAGATCTTGAAATTTTGTCAGTTCATAATCAATAAGCTTAAGAACTTTGAACTCTGAACGTCATCCTGACATTAAACTTTTGCAGTAGCGATCACTGCAATGCAGATCAGATGGCGTTGAAAGAAGAAGAAGCAATTATACTACCGTATCAGGTGTGTGCTCGAGAAATGGTGAACGGTATTGAGCCGCCACAGCGTTGGACACCTCCATGTGCTGGAAATTTCTGCACTTACAAGAAAAGTATGGTATGTCCAACATGTTTGTGAATTTTTCTCATGGCTTTTTAGTCTTATAGTTTATAGGATGATTAATTATTAAACTAAAAATGTCAAATGAGAATAGATTCAATTGGAATTCAAGGCATGAACGACACGAAAGGTACGTTAGGTAGCGAAAGCACCGAACTGCGTGTGAAATGACTGCACAGTCTGATGTAAAGGCGCCACAAACTAAAGGAAAACTAGATAAGGAATATAAAAACGAAGGGATGGAAGGTTATTTATTTCCTCGTGTATGAAAGTACACCATTACAACAATACATTTATGTGTGTGTATGTAATAATATATATATATATATATATATGTCGTCCCGTGAGCAGTGAATGTCATGAATGCATAAAATTTCAAATATATCATAAGGGCGGGTGTGACGCAGTGGTCGGAGGCGCTCTGCAACACACACGGAATCGATCCCCACGCCCATGGCCCACCAAGCCTTCGATCCCTCCTGGGTCGGCAGATTGGTACCAGGCTTGTCTGGGAGGGTAGCAGCACTGGTTCGATACATTGGTAGGCCACCGCGAGTCATTGTAAAGGCCAGATATGCATTCAGTCACCTCCCAACAATGCTTAATGAAGTTGAATGCATGGCGCATCCACCAGGATTGATCAACGCTGAGAACTTTATTCTTTTTATGCTTTATATATATATATATATATCATAATTGGTATGTTACTGATTCACCAGGATTTTCTTTGTGAGCCCATAAAGGCCCCCACAGAAACGTTTACAGCTATCGAAAATCGCTAAGCTCGCCCACATCACAGCTCACATCGCTAAGTTTCTTCAAATCATTGCCTAGGCTAGATGTGCATTAAGTTACCTCTACGATTTCATGAGTGGAGTCGAATGCATGATGAATCATTCTTCAAGAATTTTCCAACGCCATACGCTTCATTCTTTATCTTTCTACCACACTTTCAGTTACCGGTCATGGTTCATCGGAGGAAGGTTTGCCGCTTACGTTTCTTCAGTGGTTACCATTGCTACTAATACTTCTTTACTCGTAACTATGCTTATGGGTCGAAATGTCGAATCCATTCTCAGTCGAAGGCTCTTTTTGGAGAATGAATTTTTCGCTGTGCATCGCAATTCAGCACGTAGGAACACCTGACCAAGATGAGGTGGTAAACCACTGTCAGATTTTCAGTCAACCATGATTTGCACTCAAAAGAACTTTCGAATCTGAACGTCCCACTCCTTCTCGCCTAATTTTGCTTATTTTCATATGCTTTCCATATGGTCCTTTGCTGAATATGCAAGCTTTCTTGACTGATCGAATGGGCCTTTTTTAATAACATAAAAAATGAAATTCGACCTAACTTTTCTTATTTCTGTGATTGTAGTTCACGCTCGACAATGGTACCGTAGGCCATTCGCATTCAAAGGATTGCTCAGCTGGTAGTGATTTTGACCTCTTCTACACCGGTATACCGTTCCTCTTCTATCCAGGGTGTTGTGCTAAGTTAGAATACGGTGGTCAACCTGACGAGACCATTTGCTATGGTTCAATGGTAAGTAAAAAACTTGGTTGATTTTTGTGTTGTAAGAAATAAGCCTAGCATTCGTCAGTAATAATGTGTTATGCACACTTTCCGAGGGCTAACGTGCTATCCACCCACCACACCAACCGAGGCCATTTCTTTGCTTTTCTCTCAGCCAGTTTTACAGTTTAATAGTTCATCAGTAGCAGTTTTTTCCTTTTTTTCTTGTCCCAATGGACATTGGTATTCATGAGAAATATGTAGCGCAGAATAAAGAGGCACTGCTCAAAAACTCATCGGTGCTTGCTTAATTATGTTTAGACGAAGATAAAACTGACCTCGCACAAGTCACAAGGATGGAGTCCCGTTGTCGTACTGTTGCCATGGCGTTGCTGAAAGCCGCCTGTGTGGCATAAAGGATGAGGTTCCGGTATAGTACCTTTGCAGCGGCGTTTCAGAATACCTTCTGTGAGGCACAACGATGGAGTGCCGTTGTCGTCCTGTTGCCATGGCGTTGCTGAAAGCCGCCTGTGTGGCATAAAGGATGCAGTGTCCTTGTACTACCGTTGCAGAGCCGTTGCAGAAGGCAGCCTTTGAGGCACAAGGATGTGGTGCTGTTGTCGTACCGTTGCAATGGCGTTGCAGAAAGCCTCCTGTGAGTCACAAAGAGGCAGTACCCTTCTAATACCTTTGGAGTGGTGTTTGAAAGTCTATAAATTCATAGTAGTTTCATCTAAAGCAAATAAAACATTGTCTTTTGCACAATCCTCACATTTGAAAAGCATATATTATTTAGTTTTTTAACAAACATGCCTCAAACAATCGTGCTACAGACGTCTCATGTAGCGTATCGGTCGCTAGTTCAACCACACGTTCAAAGCTGTGCAAGTCCTTCATCTCTCAGGATCGAACATTTGGTGTTTTCAATCGATACAGCAGTGTACAACCAATAAAAGGCAATGTACAGACGAGATGAACATACAATCATCCCAGTTGTTTTGTCACGAATCGTGTAGAATGCATAATGAATAACTTAGGGTTGGTTAAACGCTGAACCCTTTATCCCTTCGAACATTTTATCCACCGAAGAGGTGATCTCTTATAGCACCAATGAAGTAAGAAATTGGCTGAGAAAAGGCAATGCAGGAGTCGCTGTTGGTGTGGTGGATAGCACGTGAGCCACAGGTAAAGGTAGTGGTCGGTTCAAAGCAAGCTAAAGTTCCGTGTTTGCTCATACCTTAGTATTTTTGTGGTTGTAATTGACATCATATCCTGTCATGAAAAAAAGAATAGGTGTTAAATGAAAGGTGAAGGCCTTTTTTCTTTAAATTTCATCCCTTATTTCTTCAACTGGGAAGAAAAGCTTTTCATCTATGATAATGCGCAGTTGTCTATTAGGGTTCGGCTTCGTGCGGGAAAGTTAGTGATTTTACTAGACCTCTACTCATCTAAATATCTCGTGCGTTGGACGCAAATGCTTAAATAGTTTTGTTAACCTCGATATTTGGTTTTTTGAGTCAACTGACAAAGTATCAAGATGTACTTGGCCAGTTTCAGGCAGATGACGCTGCAGCCGATTTCACGGCCCACGAGTTGATCGAATGCCATGCTGACTACATGTCTAAGCATTTACCGTACATTCCTTTTATGAAGCTGTGCAAGGGACATTTTTGTGTGATAGCCGCATCACCACATGGAGACGTTTACAGGTAATGTCGAAATGCTTCTGTGCCAAGTTGGATCATCAGAAGGTTCTCCCAAGTAACTGTAGAAGCCAAAAATTCATTTAACCATTTTGTTTCTTCTTCTATCGTATATACGTATTTCCTAGTGGTTTATGTGAAATGAAATCGTCTCTGATTTTAGGGGTTGCTTAACCGTTGATCAAAGTGCCTCTGAAAGACAAATTGCGGTATGTGACTTTCCTTCATCTTTAACCACTTCGCTGGCGTTTTTATTCACACTTGTTACACATCGCAGAGTGAAATATACGTATTGATGCAAAACTTTTCGGTACACAACACACTGAGGAAAATTTTAGACATAATACTTAGCAAACTATGGGGAGTGCTATGTGAGTTGATAGTTGTGAATTTGTTGCTTTTTCAGCCTGGTTATTATCAGTCGTACAACGGAATGGAGCAATGGATATGCGATTCATCGAACTGCAACTATGATATGCAGAGGATGGAAGAGTCATGGCCGCCAGAGTTGGAAGAATTCAGGTTGGAAATTTTTACCAAAGCGAACACTAATTTTTAAACTACTGACTTCTAAACATCTACTATCGATTCATAAACCGCTGATTCTATTAAGCTAAAATATTTGATCACAATATTGGACATGGGCTTTATAAGTGGCAACAGCTTTAGAGGCATCACCTGAGAACTCCAAGAAACAAGAATAGAAAACCTCTGAAGAATGTCTTCACTTGTTTGCACAGTCTTTGAGATATAAAATTTACAAACAATTTTGTGTCAAATGGCGTACTGAATGGACGTAACATGTTGATATATTTATTTATGAGATCTTATAAACTGATCTTCTTAAGCTGACGCGAGGTTGGTACAGATCTTCGTTGTCGTTGTCGTTGTTTTTGATGTTATTGATCGATGGCTGACGTTTCGGCGACTTCGCCTTCCTCAGAGCCTGGACGTACTTTATGTTAGAATACTTTTTATTATTCGGTGGAAAAGAAGGTTAAGGTATTAATGAAGATCAAACTTTCAAATAGACGATCTCATAAATAAATATATCAACTATTTATGCCGAGGTTCATAGAAAGTCGGTCTTTCGAGTTATTAAGGGACGTAACATGTTTTTTGTCACTGAATTTTTTTATACTACCCGTTGTTCACATATACTGTGCAGACCTCAGCATTTTTTGCATTCGATTCGTTCCCTCACATCCGTCATCCACGAAGGCCTTCGAAGTTTTCATCTGCGGGCTCTGCTGCTTCATGAGGATCTTTCTTTTGTCGCGCAAGTGGCTGAATGCTATGCTGGTCAAGTAGATTCTCGCTAGAATGCTGAGGTAGCCGGCCAGAGCGTTCTCACCTGGATCGTAGGGAGCGATCTTTTTCCAAAGAAGTCTGGCACTCGTTGAAAAAAATGGAGAATGGGAAGTCTAATATTTTAAAGCATACTGTATTATTTAGCTTCCTACAGAATAAAATAAGGGTCAGATAGTGCGATGGTAGAGATGTGCTTCGACGATCAGTGGGAAGTCCTATCAACCCCACCTCGACACAACCATGCCTATGATTCCAAGAGTGTTGAGAAATCGGTACCGCAGGTGTTTGAGAAAAGCTTCTTATTATTTCATTTTATTTCATTTCAGGACTCCACAAAGTGTATTGCCATATTGAAAAGCCATTATGCTCAAATATGTTAAGGTGCTTGACTCTGTAAAAAAGAATACACTGGAAAAACATAGGAATATGGTGACCTTTTCTTAAAAAAGCAAGTGATATAGACAACGTTAAGAAAGGTGCCGTTTTCTTTTTTTTATCAATTCCAAGGTTTTTATACAGCAAACGTTTACTTTCATACAAAAACACAAAGAACACTATACGCAGACGTTTCAGCGGTATCGCTTTCTTCGCAGTCTGGAAGGGTTTGTACTGACACTCAATTTACTGGGCGGAAAGTCAGCTACAGTTGTGTTGTATATGCTTTTGTGCGAAAGTAAATGTGTGCTGTATAACAAGTTTCCGAGTGATGAAAAACAAAACAACCACTCATATCTACGGTTTACCTCGCATAATTGTTCAGTGTCTTAGTGTAGTTGTGCCTTCGGTCGGTTCAATTCTTGTCTGTTCTTCTGCAGTCAAGTGACTTCGTTATTCGCAACATACATTCGAATCCATTCATCGTATTGCAAAGCAAGTTGGATGCATGGCCCACGCAGTGACTTACAATGTCTTCCTGATGTATCACACCGGGTTTCTTATGTTCTCAGACAGGTTTTGTCCAATTTGCCAATACTAAAGGGACAAACGTTCTGATTTGCTCAAGGTATAGGATGGAACCAAATACCATGTGTGCATTACAGGTTTCTAACTACTGCACTACATTGCAATATTCGCTGGTAGGATTAAAGGGTGACGCTCTCGGCGTTGATCAATCCCCGAGAGATGTATCAGTGCACTCCACTTTGTCAAGCATCTTTAGAGATGACTGAATGCATATCTGGGCCATACAATCACTCGCAGTGGCCAACCGATCTGCCGGTCGAATCAGTGCTGCTATCCTCCCAGACAAGATTGCGGGAGACATCTAACCACTGCGCTATACGCGCCTTTCGCTGGCACACACGGTTCAAAATCTCCTTATTGGATGTTCAGTTCATTGGACTTCATTGGATTTAGAATGAATTTTGATGAACGTAAAGACTGAGGAAACTTTTTGGTCCAAGTGTTTCATGTAAGCGAATATGATGTTCTCATTCCAGAAACATCAGTCGTCTCAATGTACAAAGCCTTTTTGAAGAGCTGAACACGGCGAGTATCACCACAAACTTTATGTTTTCTATTATTCTGATATGTGTATTTGTACTTGATCAATAACTCAGCACTTTAAATATCGCTGAAATCACTTTATGTTGGAGTGAATCTTATTCTGCTATAGATGATACCTCCATTTTTTTTTTATGTATTATGTACTTTATGTAAAAAGTTTCAGGACTGTTTGACCTACTTGCTGCAAACTCTACGGATCTATGGGTGATTTTAATGATAAGAAACAAAAGCTAAACAATCGATAACCATATGAAGCATTTTTTCACGAAGCACTGAAGCAGCTTGGAAATCCACTGCGAAGTACAAAAATAGAAGTACATGCAGTCTAAAAATAGAAGTGAATTCAATATGTCGTCTGGACTGCAGTTGTTCGACGTATTTCACTAGGAAATGAAAATGATCCAACATGATCAATACGTATTTTTTCAATGACATCTTTATTTTTACGTTTTCTTCCATTTTCAACTGTGAAACAAAATCAAAACGCAGAAAAGTCACTTTAATGAGATTCTTTTACAACAGCTAGTACCTTGTGCTGACGGGATTTTTACACTTTTGAACACCTGAACTCATTTTTTGTTATGCTTACACAGTTTTTACTCAAACTATTTCTTTCACAATGGAAAATTAAACCTAATGTTAGCACTCGTAAGTGTATTAAAGGAGAATTTTTTAACGGTCGTATTTTCTACTATTATGAGTAAGAAAACATCCATTTATGAGCGCATTAAGTTTTTAAATCGTCAAATTTACTAATCACAAAGAAGAATAACGGCGCGCGTGGCGCAGTGGTTAGAGGTGCACTCCGACACTCACGTGGTCTATGGTTCGATCCTGTAGCCGGATTGAGCAAGCCTTCCACCATTCCAGCGCAGTAAAATTGCTACCAGACTTTCTAGGAGCAGCACTGACTTGATGATACATCGGTAGGTCGCCGCAAGTCATTGCGACAGCCAAATATGCATCCAATCACTTTTAGCGAAGTCCAATGAAGTCTATTGCATGGCGAATCCTACAGGTATCGATCAATGCCGAATACTTTATCTACTGTACCTTGTTTGCAAAAAAGAATAAAAAACGTCCGGCGTTTTTTGAAGCCAAGCTTAAATTCATTGTGATAAGCTAGAGCGTTTGAAGTACAACTGCTTTAGAAATGATTCACTTGTGAGGTAATTTCTAGTGAGACTATCTCACTACAGTTGTGCGAACAAACAGTACATGGCAGCATTTATTGAGGACGTAGAAGAGCGAAACTCACTCTGAAGAAAAAATTTCATTAGACTTCATTTCACCGTGTATCTTCTAAATTCGTGTTCTTTTGAGGTTCTGTTACAAAAAGTGCCGCCCACACACTCGTTACTGCATTTGCTGCATGGTGCGCCTTCTGTGTAGGTGTGTTAATATGAATGTGCCTGAAGTTGTGCAGAAATCTTAATGGATCAAAAAACTGCGTGACGAAATGGCTTACGAGTCCCCGTATCGGCGAACAAATAACGTGAAAGTTGAAGAATCGTACGAATTGGAAGAATTGCACACGCTGTATGCGCATCCTAGTTTCGTCGTGTTAGCGTTTGCCATCTGGGAACCACTTTAGAAGTATTCACCGTAACACTTTCTTTTCTAATCGTTGAAAACTAAACAACTATTGTGGAACGCGGCTTGTCGGCCTGTTAAAGATTAGGGATAGCAGTAAAGGGCTATCTGCACAGCCCTGATATTTAAATGTTGATGTATTACTGCAACCTAGGTTGGTACGACCAACTGCCATTCGTTCTATGAATCGAAACAAAGCATTATCACAAAAAACCTGGAAGAATGGAATCATTCCGCTGTCACTTTCCGTTGGAGTGAGATTGACGAGAGGGTCATACTTCAGTGATGTGTTCCACCACTCCGTCATGAACTAAAAAAATGCAAAAGTGACATAACTGTTGATTGAGTTTAACATATCCATCCATTTTTTGCTGGGGAACCACCATCTAAAACTAAGCGGGAGCTTCCACTCTTACTATCCTAAGATAGTCAGTGATATCGTTATCAAAGTAATCCCATCTCTGGTCGAATGTGGCGCGTGATAGGAAGTAAGTGGCATTATTACTGCCTACGAAGGAGAAATTAGGTACGGTTTGATTCTGACACATCTGAGATATGATGAGAGCAGATTCCTCCAATTTGCAATCATATTCCTATAAGAAAGACAAATTAAAGTGCAGAATAACCTATTCGAAGACGATTAACTTGATTAATTCACAATGTTCTCACCATAAGACTCATCTCACTGGCATTTGGAAAATTTCTAGCTGTACTGCCATTGCCATTTTTTTGTGCTCCATTCGTAAGTAAACCTCTGAAAAGGGACACCTTTGTATATATACAACGATTCAGTGAAAGTGGTAATCATCCACAACTGGAAACAACCGAAAGCTGAACATACCTCAGAGTGTTGTGTAAACTTGTAACTGTTAATCTCAGCAGATTGTCCATATTTGAGCTATTACCGCACTCTTCTATGTCATCTGCAAACGAGTGGACTATGCAATGTGAGAAACTGGATTGCAAAACTAAGATGAAAAATCAAACGAAGAGAAAAATAAACGATGACCTGAAACATAGCTAAACTGTGAGCTGTAGCTGAATCCCTGAACTGATTCAATGGTGTTCTCTTGCTGTCGGGTTGAAACTGCTACATATTCCACAATGAGAAGGAGAACAGCGACGAATGTGATGATCGTCATTGAATGA